TGAAGAGTATATTAGAGAGAACTAACAGAGTGGATGAAAGAAAGGATCAAATCAGCAACATAGAGGATAGGGTAACACAGGACACCCAATAAGAACAGCAACAAGAAAAAAGCATCCAAAAAATGAAGATAGTTTTAGAAGCTTCTGGGACAACATCAAGCGTAACAACATTCACCTCACAGGGGTACCAGAAGGAGAAGAGAGCGAGCACGGAATTGAAAACCTATTTGAAGAAATAATGACAAAAAACTTCCCTAACTCAGTGAGAGAAATAAACATGCAACCTCAGGAAGTTCAGAGAGTCCCAAACAAGATGAACCCAAAGAAGCCCACAGCAAGACACATCATCATTAAAATGCCAAAGGTTAAATACAAAAAGAAAATCTTAAAAAGCAGCAAGAGAAAAGCAATAAGTTACCTATAAGGGAACACCCATAAGATTGTCAGCAGATTTCTCAACAGAAACCTTACAGGCCAGAAGGGCTTGGCACAAAATATTGAAAGTGATGAAAAGCAAGGACCTACAACCAAGATTACTTTACCCAGCAAAATTACCATTTAGAATTAAAGGACATATAAAGAGCTTCCCAGACAAGGAAAAGCTAAAAGAGTTAATCACCACCAAGCCAGTATTACAGGAAATATTGGAGGGACTTTTTTAAGAAGAAAAATATATGTACCAAAAATATGAATAAAGAATGGCAATAACTACATAGATATGGACTTTAAAAGAAAAAGAATTAAACGCTCCAATCAAAAGATAGGGCGGCTGAATAGCTAAGAAAACAGACCCTTTCATAGGCTGCCTACAAAGAGATTCACTTCAGATTAAAAGACACACATAGACTAAAAGTAAGGGGATGACAAAAGATATTTCATGATGAACCCAGAGAGTAGTGTGCTGAGTGGAGTAAGTCAGACAGAGGAAGACAAATGTCAAATGAATGTACATATATGTGGACTCTAAAGAACAAAATAAACAGAAACAAACTCAAAGATACAGAGAACATTTTGAGGGTTACCAAATGGGAGGGGGTTGGAGGGAGTCAGCGAAAACGGGAGGAAGGATTAAGAAGTACAAATTTGTAAATTTGTAGTTATAAAACAGTCATGGAGATAGAAAGTATAGCATAAGGAATATAGCCAATAATATTATAATAACTATGTACAGTGTCAGAGGACAGTAGATTTATTGGGGTGATCACTTTGTGAGTTATAAAGATGTCAAATCATTGCATTGTATACCTAAAACTAATAATAATATTGTATGCCAACTGAAAAATAAAACATTATTATTAATTTTTTAAAAAGCAAGGTGTAGAACTATTTAAATAGGCCTCCATGTGAGTTTTTAAAAGGTGGGATATAAATAAATACATACACACATATGCATGTAAAATATCTCTGGAAGGATACACAATAAACTGGTAAATATGACTGTTTCTGAGAAGTAGGGGATGGACATCAGAGATTAAAGGGAGGTATTTTTTCATTTAATTGTTTCAATATTTACGTACTTCTATTCAAAATGTTTGAAATAAAAAATAAAAATTGCCTTTAGACTTGTATTATGCAAAAGATGTGAAAAGTGGTATTTCTACAAAATCCCTAAAAATTGTTGGACTACTAGCACTGGCACAGTGCCCTTCTTGCCTATAATCAATACTCAAATGTTTATGACTTGAATTGTGATGAGATCAATCCCTTATACTGCCACTTATGGAATCTAAGAATCAAAAAAGAAAAAAATAAACTTCACATATTTGAACCTTTCTCGTCACATTCAAGGTTGGTCAGATAATTGCTTAACTTTTGTTTTCTGAATTCTCTATAATATTTGAGAACTGACTTAATTGTCAAAATTAAAGTTCAGCTCACAATAGCTCTCTTTGGGCTTTCCATATACCCACACAGCATTAAGACAACCAGAAGTCTAAGACCCCAACAAATTTTAGCCCCAATCTGTTACTTCATTTCCACTGGAACATATGTTCCACTCAAGCAGAAACTTTTATCTACTGTATCTCTCAAACCTACCACATAGCCCATCATAAATGGAAGTATTAAATATATTTTAAATAAATAAAGAAAGAAAAAGAGGTCTTCTATAAATGCCAAGACTAGGTTATATATAATCATAATCTGTCTACTTTGGCTACTTGTACAAGTTCATCTGGCTGAGGATGCTACATAGACTGGAGAATGCTACATACATGTTCTAAAGAACATACAGGGGTGTGAGGAAGTTCTCACAAGCCCCCTCTGACAGCCCAAATGTTAGTATTTAAAATGTCTTACAGCCCTGTAACATAGGAAAGAAAAATAGCTGACAGCCAATTGGTTCCTAGCCAATCTCCACATTTCCTCTATTTCATAACTACTAAGGATGATTTTAAAACCCTAACAGCATTAAACAAAAATTTAGGAACTAAGAATCAGTGGTTTAGAATACCTTAAAAATCTCAAAGTACATTTTCCAATATTATTTTAAATGAATAACTAATCGAGCCAGTTGCTAATAGTATTAGTTAATCATCTTAAATCTTCTATCATGGAAATTTACTCAGACTTACAGACTGTTACCTAAGGGTCTGTCTCATCAGGGTTCAGGAATGTTTTGCTATTGGAAAAGCAACATCTCCAAACAGTCTTTTACCTCTACTGCCCCACTAAAACTAATCAAGGTCACCATCAACCTACACATTGCTAAACCAAATGGTTCTAAAGCCTTCATCTTAATTGTAGTATTTGACACAGTTGCTCAATCTCTACTCATTAAAACATTTTCCTCTTTTGGCTTCAGGATACCTTCCCATCTGATTTTCTTCCTACCTCTCTGCTGTTACTAAATCTCTTTTGATTGCTTCTCCTCACCTCCCTGACCTCTAAAGATCTCTAAATTCTGTTCTACTCCAAAGTTAACTAAGTTCTTCAACTTCATCTTTCTTCCATCGCTACTCACTCACTTGTTGATCTTATACAGGCTCTTGGCTTTAAATACAATCTATGCATCAACAACACCCAGAGGTACACTTCCAGCAGATCCTCTCTTGAATTTCAGACTCATAAACTCAACTACCTATTTAACACCTCTACTACTCTGACAGGCATCTACAGTATAGTATGTCCAAATCTGAGCTCCTGTTCTCCCTCAAACCTGTACCTCTTTCAGGCTTCCTCATCTCAATAAATGGCAATGCCATCCTTCCAGAAACGAAGAGCAAAAACCCTGGAGCTGTCCTTAATGCCTTTTTTTTCCCAGCACACATCCAATCTAGCAGCAAAACTAGTTGACCTTACTTAAAAAGTAATCCCGAATCAGATCATGTGTCACCATATTCACTGCTACCCCCAATGCAAACTGTCATCTTCTCTCACTTGGATTATAGTGATAACCTCCTAATTGGTATTCCTGCTTTTGCCCTTGCCCAATCCACTACTAGTCTATTTATTACCAACACAGCAACTAGAGGAATGTTAATGTCAAAACGGAAATCAGTTCATGTCAAACGACTGCCCAAACCCTCCAAACACTTCCCATTTCACTTAGCATAAAAGCTAAAGTCCTACAAAAGACCAACAGAAACTTATTAGAAATAGGCCCCATCTCAGACCTACGAAATTAGAATCTGAATTTTAGCAATTCATGTGCACATCAAAGTTTGAAAAGTATTTGTATAACGCACCATGATGTAAGCACCCACCCTCCCTGACCCTTGCATTCCTCAGGCAAGCTTTTATCTCAGGAAATTTGCACCTGCCACATGCTATGCCTCAAATGTCCTTTTATTGTATTCTCTTACTTCTTTCAAGCCTTTACTCAAATGTCACCTTAACTGTGAGGCTGTCTGTGTGATCAGTCAACCCCTCCTCTTAATATGTCCTATTCCTCTCTCCTGCTTTTACTTTTCTAATTAGAACTTATCATAGTTTTAAAAACCACACTTTCACTTTTTATCTTGTTTTTTTCTAACTCCGTATATAATACATAAAATAAGCTCTAAGAAGACAGAGAGATTTTTGTCAGTTTTCTTCCCCAGTTCCCAGAACACAGTAAGCATTCAATAATTTTTAAATGCATAAAACAATAAACAAATAAGATTTCTTATTTAGAACTAATAGATTGAGTAAAATGCTTCTTTACCACACAAACTGACATTTTCTCAGCATCGCATTCAACAAATTCACTTTTTAAAATGTACTAAGCCCCTATGACGTAATTAGGCACTAAACACTGTTTATCCATGATTTACCACAGAGATTTAAAAATCTGATTCATGATGGGACTGTATCATCAAAAAATTTCACAGAAATAAAAACTGAGTCTGAGTGAAAAGAACAGATATGCCTACAGTCCTCCGCCATGCAATAACCCTTTACCTCAACAAAACAGTCTTCCACACAAATTTTCTCATCTGATCCTCAATAATCTCATGAGGTTTGTGTAAAGCAAATAACAATAAGCTCATTTTAGAGGAGAGAAAACAAACATACTTTAACTCTCAAAGCATGGCAACGTCAAAACAGGGACTGAAGTTCCTTGATTTTGAGTTCAAAATTCTACAATATCACACCTCCTCTTGCAAATGATATTGAATGACTGTAAAGCATATAGCCATTTTTATATTAAAGACACTAAGCTTTCCCAAACCATCCAGTGTCTATGCAGAATGAGAATAAACAAACTCAGTTCAACAAAATCGCAATCTTGACTTGAGGAATAAAAATTCAAACAGCTTCCTGTCACTTATAAGTCTTACCCAGAGTCCAATGACATTTACGAAGAATCTAAGAAATCAGCTGTTATAATGCATATTAAGGAAGTTCTTATTGAGCTATGGCAACTGCTAAGAACAAGAGAATAGGAGAAAGAAAGATGGAACAAGTGAATTAATAATAACTGAGTTCTACTGAGGAAAGAGCCAAGGTTATATCATTATTTCATACTGCTCTAAGTGCCTAAGTGATGCTATTTTGCAATAAAAAAAAAAAAGACATACCTCCTCAAATCCCAGCACAACAGCTTTCTTTTCATTGCATAGATGAGGATGAAAAGTTGTAATCCAAAATGTTTCCCGAAAAGTTACTTTTTAAAAAGACATAGAAGATCCATACGAAAAGAGATTCGATCTGGATGAAAATTATATCTTCTAAATCTTGTGATCAAAAGCAGCTGTTTACCAAGTGTCAGCATCTGAAGAAAGTGCTAACCGTGGGTGTGTCTTCTCAAGAGAGTAATACCTGCTGGGACAGGGGAGCAAGAAAAGGAGAAAGAAATACTACTGAATGCAAATGTCTGGCTGGCAAACAATTACCAGTCATCAGTCTGCAAAATTTTTCAAAGTGATATTTGTGAATACTAAAAGATCACAAGAAGGTAATACAAGTGGGCAAGCCCAAATGACACTGGGGTTATCAATGACAGCAGAAATCAAAGTTACATTTCAACAGGTCCAGTTCTCTGATTAATAATAAAGAATAGTATAGTAAACAAAATGTAAAACTCTATTTTTTTTTTTTTTATATAACAAGATGATGGTCATATCATACAACCAAACACCGACTGGTAACATTAGGTAGTCTGGCAAACAGACCAAGCTCTCTGGTAACTTATAAAACAAATATTGTAGAACTACTAAAGATGTCTAGGCAGCTGAAAATATAGCCTAATCATTCAAAAGACGTGTGTGTGTGTGTGTGTGTGTGTACATATATATACACACACACACGTATACATGTATATATGTATACATATATACATACATATACATACATACACACACACACACATATATATACATATATATATGTGTGTGTGTGTCTGGCAGAAAAATGCATGTTAATGTGGAAACTGAGGGACATCAAAGTTAATGTGACAACAGGGTGGTTTTGTGCACCCTTGTCAGATGTCCTACAAAATTAGGAACCTGTTATATTTTGGCAGCAAATTAAGGCAGTATTTCTTGATACCTGCCACATCCATATGATCCAGCAATTCCACTTCTGGGTATATAGCCAAAAGAACCGAAAGCAAGATCTCAAAGAGATATCTGCACATCTATGTTTACAGAATTATTATTCACATTTCTGTCAAACTACGAATTACAGAATATAAAGTAGGCTAACATGAAATACAATGAATGGAATTAACAGCAGATAAGGTAATGCAGAAGAAAAGATTAGTGAATGTAACAATATAACAACAGAAACAAAATGAAACCTGGAATACAAGACTAAGAAAGAGCAGAACATCAGCAAGCCATGGGACAAACTCAAGGAGCCTAATAATATACGTGTAATTGGAATCCCAGCGGGCAGGAGGCAGGATTTGAAGAAATAACATCCAAAACTGTTTCAAATTTGATGAAAACTATAAACCCACAGATTCAACAAGTTTGACAAACACCAAGCACAAGAAACGCGAAGAAGATTAAAACTCCACCAAGAAATAACTAAAATCAAATTGCTTAAACCAGAGATAAGGAAAAAAATCTTAACAGCCAGAATACAGAATGACAGAAAATATGTGCAAATCATATATTTGGTAAGTAATTAATATCCAGAATATAGAAAGCACCTATAATTCAACCACAAAAAATAACCCAATTCAAAAATGGGCAAAGGACTTAAACAGACATTTGTCCAAAAAAGGTATATTAATAGCCAATTAGCACATGAAAGATGCTCAACATAACTATTAAGGAAATGCAAGTCAAAACCCAATGACATACACATCTCATACCTATTAGGATGGCTACTAAAAAAAAAAAGAAGAAAATTACAATATTGGCAAAGATGTGGACAAAGATGTGAACTGTTGGTGGGAATGTAAAATGTTATAGCTGCTGTGGAAAACTGTACAGTGGTTCCTCAAAATTTAAACCCAAGAACCATATGATCCAGCAATTCCACTTCTAGGTATACAGACAAAAGAACTGAAAGCAAGATCTCAAAGAGATATTTGTACACCTATGTTTATAGTGGCATTATTCACAATAGCTAAAACATCAAACATTCCAAGTGTCCATTCACAGATGAATAGACAATAAGCAAAATTTGGTATATACATACAATGGAATATTATTCAGCCTTGAAAAGAAAGAAGAGTCTAACATGTGCTACAACATGGATGAACACTGACATTATGCTAAGTGAAATAAGCTGGTCACTAAAAGACAAATACTGAATTTCCTAACTGCACTATGAAGTGTCTCCAACAGTTCTGAAAGCTGAACATATCGGTGTTTTGAACCCAGCTCTATCTGGGAAGAAAAAAAAAAATCCTTTCCTTCCTTAATTTTCTCCACAGTAGAAAGTCTGCCCCAAAACACATGGATTCTTAGCAGTCCTGTTCACAGTGGCCAAAAGGTAGAAACAACCCAAGTGTCCATCAACAAAGTGTGGTATACACATACAATAGAATGTTATTCAACCTTAAAAACAAAAGAAATTTTGACATGCTACAACATGAATGAATCTTCAAAACATCATGCTAAGTGAAATCAGCCATTCACAAAAGGACAAACATTGCAGGATTCCACTTACATGATGTCCCTAGAGTAGTCAAATTCATGGAGACAGAAAGTAGAATGGTGGATAACAGGAGCTGGGGGAGGAGGAACAGGGATTTATTGTTTAACGAGTACAGAGTTTCAGTTCTGCAAGATGAAAAGAGTTCTAGAGATAGATGGTTGTGATAGATGCATAATGACATGAATATACTTAATACCACTGAACAGTACACTTAAAAATGGTTAAGATGGTAAAAAGTACATTGTGTATACCAGAATTTTTTTAATTGAAAGAAAAATAAAAGGCTACAAGAAAACAACAACACATTATGTATAAAGGGGTAAAGAATGACAGCCAACTTCTCTCTGGAAACAATGCAGGCCAGAAGACAATAAAACAACATCTTTAAAGTACTGAAAGAAAAAGACTGTCAACCAGTGAAAATAGTGTCTTGTCTACGGCCATGCCACCCTGAACAAGCCCGATTCCATCTTGATCTCGGAAACTAAGCAGGGTCGGGCCTGGTTAGTACTTGGATGGGAGACCACCTAAGAAGACCAGGTGCTGAAGGCGTAAAAAATAAATAAAATAAATAAGGGATTGTAAGATGACAAGGTCCTTGCAATCTGTGACGTCAACCAAGGGTTGCCTTGCCAAAAACAAACAAACAAAAAAAGAAAGGAAATAGTGTCTATAAATCAAGGCAAATTAAAGAGTTCTTCAGACATACAAAAGCTGGAAGGATTCATCATCAGAAGACCCGCACTGCCAAAAAATGTTAAAAGAAGTTCTTCATTCGGAAGGAAAAAGTACCAGAAATCTCGAACTACACATAAAAATGAAGAACACTGGAAATAGTAAACAGAGTACACATATAGTACCTGACAAAGGCTTTCATTATAATGATAGCAGATTCATCTACATTATTAAAATAAAGAAAAAAGCTACCAAAAATTTTCATAATACACGTATCTTCCCAAATGCCTGTCTTCTGAAAGAAAGAAAGAACCTTAATAGAACTCATTTCCCATCATAACATCACTGTAAATTAGAGGGTCAATATTATCTTTTACATAAAAAAGTCCCAAGGTACAGCTATTTGCCCAGTGACAGTCTTTTAGAGAAGTAAAATTAAAATCTTCTTGGTTCCAGCCCAGTGTTCTATTACATACACCCTTTTAAAGGGCTTGCCTACAGCGAAGCTCCTTGGGATTAAGTATGATGGTGATTAATATATAATTTATCTATTTTCTATTGCCTCCAGGGAACCCCAAAGTCACTTAGAAGTAAGCTATGAAGACAGCAAAGAATGTTCCTTGCTTTCAAGACGTCTGAAAAACAATATTTTATTTCAACAAATTGGGTTAGGTTACCCCAAACTGGCAAAAGAAGAAAACTTTTATCAAGTCTTCCTGAGGAAAATGAATTTATCAAAGCAAAAGTGTCAGAGTAATAACTGCAAAACAAAGCTTCAGGATTGGGTGCCGAAAGAGGAAAAAGAAAACACTAATATTTAATGCCACTCTATTATAGTCCGAACCTCAGAGGAAATGTGGTAAGAATAAAACCTCTGTATTATCACTGATGCCAAATAGTTTACAGAATGGGAATTCTGCCTACTATCCTTCTGAATAATGTTAAACACAATTCATACACTCAGATTCCTTAAGACCACAATCAGATTTTATAATCCAACTTCACAATGAGAGACTACTTGCTACTCTCAGAAAGGTAACTAAGTGGTACACAACATAATTCAAGATGTTCCTCTAACAAAATCCTAGGGTAAGGCTACCGTTACCTTGTCTGGACCAAAATTCTTTACTCCATGATGACGACAGGAAAATTATATGATTTCAGTATTCACTCACGAATACCATGCCAGCAGAAAGTAGCAATCTTTCAGCACTTTACCCCAAGTAAGTCATTGGGTAACTTTCTTTTTAACATGAAAATAAAATTTATAAAAAGAAATACATTAGTTATATACCCAAAAGAATTTAAAACATATGTTCAACAAAAATTTATACATGGTCATAGCAGTATTATTCACAATAACTAAAAAGTGAAAACTCAAATGTCCATAAACTGATGAATGGATAAACAAAATGAGGTATAGTCATAGGATTATTCAGCCATAAGAAAATCAATAAGTACTGAAACATGCTACCACAGGGATGAACCATAAAAACGTTATTGAGTAAAAGAAGCCAGAAACAAAAGGCCATATATATTATATGACTCCATTTAAATGAAATGTCCAGAATAAGCAAATCCACAGGGACAAAAATCAGACTAGTGATTGCCAGAGAATGAGGACTGCTTAATGGATACGAAGCTTCTTTTTGGAGGGATGAAAATGCTCCGGAATTAGATAGTGGTGGCAGTTGCACAACATTATGAATATACTAAAAGCCTCTAAACTGTACATTTTACATTTTAAGTGGTTAAAATAATGAATTTTGTGTTATATGAATTTTACCTCAATAGAAAATAATGTTTCCGAGTGTTATCAAGTACCTGTATCTCCCACTTCTTAACAAAACGCTGTGTTAATAAAAGTCATTCAAAAATACTTTTTAAAACTTAATATTCTGGAAAAAGCAAAACTGTAGAAATAGTAAACAGATCAGTGGTTGCCAGGGGTCAATGTAGGGGAAGTTAAACAGGTGAGGCACAAGTATTTTGGAGCAGTGAAACTATTCCATATAATACTGTAATGGTGAATATAAGATACAAAGTT